AAAAAGAAATGAAGTAGAACTGTTATTGTTTGCATATGATATGGTCTTATGCATAGAAAGTCCTAAAAATCCCACCAAAAAACTGTTGGAACTAATAACCAAATTCATTAAAGTTGCAAGCTACAGAATAAACCTATAAAAATTAATTACACTTCTATACACCAACAATGAGCTATCTAAAAAACAAAGAAAGTAAACAATCTCAGTTACAATAGTATCAAAAACAATAAAATACTCAGGAATACATTTAACCAAGGAGGTGAAAGATCTATAAACTAAACACTGTAAGACATTGATGAAAGAAACTGAAGAAGACACAAATAAATGGAAAGATATCTTGTGTTCATAGATCAGAATTAATATGATTAAAACATCCATAGTACTCAAAAACATCTACATATTCAATGCAATCCCTATCAAAATTCCAATGGCATTTTTTTACAGACAGAAAAAAAAATCCTAAAATTTATGGAACCATAAAAGACACCAAAAAACAGAAGCAATTTTGAGAAATAAGAATAAACCTGGAGACATTATATTTTCCTATTTCGATCTATACTACACAGCTATAGTAATCAAAATGGTGTGATACTGGCATAAAAACAGACACACAAATCAAAGGTACAGAATCAAGAGCCCAGAAATAAATCCTGCACATACAATCAACTAATTTTTGACAAGGAAACCAAGAATACTCAATGGGGAAAAGATAGCCTCTTTAATCAAAGGTGTTGGGAAAACTGGCTATCCACATGCAAATGAAAGACATTGGAATTTTATCTTACACCATACACAAAAACTAACTCAAAATGGATTGAAAAAGTAAATGTAAGAACTGAAATCATAAAGCTCCTAGAAGAAAGCATAGGGAAAAAGCTCTTTGAAATTGGTCTTGGCAATAGTTTTTTTGGCTATAACAGCAAAACACAAGCAAAAAAGGCAAAAATAAACAAGCAGGACTACATCAAACTGAAAAGTTCTGCACAGAAAAGGAAACAGCCAAAAAATGAAAAGGCAATCAATACACAGAATGGGAACAAATATTTGCAAACTATCTGATAAGGGGTTAATATAAAAAGTATATAAGGAACTCATACAACTCAAAAAACAAAAAACAAATAATCCAATTAAAAATGGACAACCTGACTAAACATTTTTTCCAAAGAAGACCTAGAGATGGCCAACAGACATGAAAAGATGCTCAACATCACTCATCATCAGGGAAATGCAAATCAAAACCACAATGAGATGTCACTCATTGTTAGAATGGTGATTATCAAAAAGATAAGAGATAATTGCTGGCAAAAATGCAAAGAAAAGAGAACCCTTGTGCACTGTTGGCGAGAATGTAAATTGCTACATTCACTATGGAAAATGGTAGGTTCAGAGGCTTCCCCAAAAAATTAAAAATAGAACTACTGTATGATCTAGCAATCTAAATTCTGAATATACATCCAAAGAAAAAGAAATCATTATCCAGGGAAGATATCTGCACTCCCATGTTCACTGAGGCATTATTCACAGTAGCCAAGACATGGAAACAACTTACGTGTCCATGAACAGATGAATGGATAAAGAAAATGTGGGATATATAAAGAACGGAATATTATTTGGCCATAAAAATAAGAAAATCCTCCCATTTGCGACAACATGGATGGACCCTGAAGGCATTATGCTAAGTGAAAGAAGTCAGACAGAGAAAGCCAAATACTAAATGATCTCACTTATAAGTGAAATTTTAAAAAGCCAAACTCATAGAAACAGAGTAGAGCAGTGGTTGCCTAGAGGGGGACAGGGAAATAAGGAGATGTTGGTCAAAGGGTACTCACTGTCAATTATGAGTAAGTCCTGGGCATGTAATATACAGCAAGGTGACTACAGTTAATGATACTATGTTATATACTTGAAAGCTGTTGAGAGAGTAGATATTAAATGTTCTGATCACAAAAAAAAGAAAAAAAAGAAAAATGGTAATTATGTCAAGTGATGGATGTGTTAACTAACCTTATTAGGTAATGATTTATACAATGCATACATGAAATAAATCACATCATACACCTTAAACTTACATGATGTTATATACAATTATATGTTAATGAAGCTGGGGAAAAAATTAATTTCTTAAATAATAATTTTTTTTAAAAAAAAAAGACAAATACTCAACCCTTACTGGCCTGCAAAAGAAACATGTGTCCCTCTAAACCTACTTTTCTATCAGGGAAGAGATTGAACAGTCATGTAAGATGATCTAACATACTATTCTTTAAGTCTAACCAATATCCCAGTATCATCCTGAGGGATTGAGAGTCTTAATAATAGGGGCGCCTGGGTGGCGCAGTCGGTTAAGCGTCCGACTTCAGCCAGGTCACGATCTCGCGGTCCGGGAGTTCGAGCCCCGCGTTAGGCTCTGGGCTGATGGCTCAGAGCCTGGAGCCCGTTTCCGATTCTGTGTCTCCCTCTCTCTCTGCCCCTCCCCCGTTCATGCTCTGTCTCTCTCTGTCCCAAAAATAAATAAACGTTGGAAAAAAAAATATATATATACTACATATTGGGGCACCTGGGTGGCTCAGTCAGTTAAGTGTCCAACTGTGACTCAGGTCATGATCTCACAGTTTGTGGGTTCGAGCCCTGCATCACATCAGGCTCTGTGCAGACAGCTCAGAGCCTGAAGCTTACTTCAGATTCTGTGTCTCCCTCTCTCTCTACCCTACACCACTCACACTCTGTCTCTCTCTCAAGGAAAAGTAAACATTAAAAATTAAAAAAAATATATAGTACATATTAATTTAACAATCACTGAATATCTCCTACATTTGAGGCACAATATAAACAATTCAAACTGCACCAAGAGAGAAGATTCTGTAACCAGAACAATTTTACTCTGAACCTGATTCAAGTTAATAGTGAATGCTGTTGGTGCCACCAGATTGCTTTTTGTTTATTTATTTTGTTGTTTTTTATTTATTTTTGAGAGAGAGAGCGTGAGCAGGGGGGGCACAGATAGGGGGACAGAGAATCAAAGCAGGCTCTGTGCTGACAGCAGTGAGCCCCATGTGGGGTTCAAACTTAAAAACCGCGAGATCACGACCTTAACCGACTGAGCCACCAAAGTGACCCTGCTTTTCCTGAGCCGGAGTGTCCATCCCCAAACTGCTGTTTAAGTGTTGGCTATTAAGAGCTCAGAGCTGCCCCTGTTTTCCAGGAGAACTGGAAACCCCACTTGGCTTCGGGGTTCTATCTCCTATATCCCATTCCAAAACCCTCCACAGCAATCGTCAAGGAAGGACAACCTTGCCTGTGATTTATACTTTCTCCCAAAAGCCCAAGCCAAGGCTATGCTGTCCCTGGGATCACTTCCTTGTTCAGCTCTATCCCCTTCCTTACTCTGCTTCCCTCACTTCCATACAGGGTTTTTCCTAAAAAGCACTTCCTCAATAAATTACAAGCATCCAAATCCCTATCTCAGGCTCTGCTTCTAGAAAACATGGACATAAGGGGCACTGATTTCATTCACTAGAGAGCTTGACTAAAGTCAAGGCTTTCTTTGACTGATTACTGTGGTTTATAATCTCTAAGATTAATGCTATTATTATTAATATCATAGTCATTATTTTACAGATAGGGATTTCTTGGTATTCTGTAGACAATACACTGTTTGTCCATAAAGGGAAGACCAAAAGTATCATTAAAGCTTTTAGAAAAACTGAATTATAAAATTTCTTCCCATATGATGTATTCAACATAGTCTAAATCCTAAATCTGACTTTATTCCTCAAGGTATAGAGGAGAAAAGTGCTAAATCTGATCTGGCATGATGCAAAATATAAGTTGAAACAGAATAGACATATATCAGAAACAAAATCAGGAATAATATTTTCCTCAGGGCATAATTCAATAAAAGAAATAAACAAACAAAACCCTATAATTAGCTAGTGCTGCTACTGCCCTAATTCTCCTGCATTTTCAGGTGGGTCATAGACAAGCCTTCTTGGGCAAAGAGGGGGAAAAGACCACATCAGTAGCTTTACATTTCATTCTTCATCTTCAGTAGAGTGACTCTTACACAACTGTGGTGGTCTGGGTAGCCATGAAAATAAGAGCTCTGTAGGGGCTTGGTTAAGTGACAGACTCTTGGTTTTGGATTAGGTCATGATCTCATGGTTCATGAGTTCAAAACCTGCATTGGGCTCTGTGCTGACAGCACAGAGCCTGCTTGGGATCCCTCTCTCTCTGCCCCTCCCCTCCTTGTTCTCTCTCTCTCCCTCTCTCTCTCTCTCTCTCTCTCTCTGAAAATAAATAAACTTTAAAAAGGAAGGAAGGAAGGAAGGAAGGAAGGAAGGAAGGAAGGAAGGAAGGAAGGAAGGAAGGAAGGAAAACCACAGCTCTAAAGTCCATGTGGGGCAAAGGGACTCAGGAGTGCTCCCCTGGTTGCCTAGAAGATGCTTTCTCCAGCATCCGAGCTGCATGTGGGCTTTTCCCTTTTCAGACCCCATAAAAGGTGAAGAGTTTCATGACATAATAGTGCTTATTATAGCAGTGAAGATAAAACTAATATTACACATCAAACAGTCCCCATTATCCCATCATCTAAAAGAAAAAAAAAAAAAGGTATCTAGACCAAGATATGCTAAAAGCCAAAGCCTGCCCTCCAAAAAATACATTTGCCTATAGTAAAAGCTTAACTAACATGTAATAAGGAAGCTATCTTATTCCCTAGGGCCAGAATTTCAAAAGTAGGATAGTTAATAATATTCAGTTTATATTTTCCCAACATGTGTCTTTAGTTCATTTCTTCTATGTCTTCAATTAGCATCTTGATCTTTAAAAATCAACAAAAACAAACCTGTACACAACAACCATTCATGCAGAAAGCTAATTTTAATGAACTATAGGGTTAGCCTATTTCTTAATGTTTGAGGAGGACTGAAAAATCTCTAAAGTGAAATGGTAATTATAAAGAATTCACTATCACATGATCAAAAAGCGAAACGGAAACTCACCACCAGGTACACTATACCAAGCAGCACCATTGGTTGTTCCATCTATGAAGCTGCTGTCATCGTCATTCTTGCGACATGGTGGCCGATTGGGGTCAGACATGGGTGGGTTAAAAGCAGAATACGCTCGAGCCAAGCTTTGGAAAATGGCATCATCTGGGCAGGAGCTATATTCATGAGCACTACCTAGTAAATAAACCCACAGATTAAAGAAATTAACACAGACCAAGGAGCACTCCTTGTTTTCTGAAGAGTGATTCAGTGTTGTTTCTTGCTGATGTATTCTTTAGCTACATCACTATGGGAAAGGAGTGAAGGTTTAAGTGCTCAAAAGCTACACTTAGCTTTTAAATTCTATAACATTCCGTTCCATGCAACAATGTAGAAATTGGGTAGAATGCACATTCTATTTATGAATTGAAAGCTTCAGGAGAAAAGGTGATAAACTTGTGGTGAACTAGACCTGAGAAAACAGTAAGATTTCCATTGCTAAAATTTTTAATTTTAAAAATGTACCTGTACCAACCTCACAGCCACCGTGAGCCACTCTCACACATATATTTAGTATTTGAGTTTAAATGTTTTAAAAAATCTCCTATGTGTAATATGTAAATAAATAATATATATTTTGATACACTATATTCTTCTTCATATGTTATAAAACATGCTAGGCTTTTAAATTTCCCAGCTATTGACAAACTAAGAAATCTCTAAATTTTAATGATGTTTCAGCAGAGACTTTTCCTCAAAGCTCAAAGTTTCCAATATCTAAAATTATTATCCGTGGGGTGCCTGGGTGGCTCAGGCGGTTAAGCGTCCGACTTCGGCTCAGGTCATGATCTCGCGGTCCGTGAGTTCGAGCCCCGCGTCGGGCTCTGTGCTGACTGCTCAGAGCCTGGAGCCTGTTTCAGATTCTGTGTCTCCCTCTCTCTCTGACCCTCTCCCGTTCATGCTCTGTCTCTCTCTGTCTCAAAAATAAATAAACGTTAAAAAATTTAAAAAATAAATAAAAAATAAAAAAATAATATTATTATCCTGTGCTTACAAAAAGCAATTCTCCAAAGACCCTCAGAATCCATCCAAAGCAGGAAATTTCTTGGAGCAAAAAAAAAAAAAGAAAAAAGAAAATAAATCTCTGGCTAAAGCTTGCTGTGCCTGAAATTTAACTAAAACTAGTTAGAGAAAGTCAAAGTACCACTCCCCACCCCCGCGCCCGACACCATCATTCCAAATGTGAAAGTGTGAGTGTATGTTAAAACACGTAGAGATCCACATGGGCCCTCATCAACTTCCGAAAAGACTGCTTCCACTTTTAAGCCATCTTGTCCACACACCTATATACCTCCCATTATCTCTCCATTCTTCCAGGGTTCAAGAATGACCCAAGTTCATAATGTCTGTTTTCTCTCTTTCTCCTGCATTCTGTCAAGATCACATTCCTTTTCAACTAAGCTTATGAAAAACTTACAGTCCTTTGCTGCCAAATATACATACCCGTGCCACATGAAATAAGGGATGTTCCTATTAAACGTATGTGTTTCTATAGGCAAAATCACTTAAGGACCATTTCCTTCAAAGGATATTATAGAAATCACTCTATAAATCCTCATAAGGTAAGTGTAAACCTTGAACCATTAAAGAAACAAGAAAAACACTTACCACTCCGCGTCTCATCATATGGGTAATTGGCCACGAGGTCTCCTCCATGGAGATTGGCAGAGAGCACGAAAGGAATATCCATAATCCAATGAATGACTGCCTTGGTCTCAGGAGCAAGCTGTATTCAAGATTAGAGATTAAAAGGATTATAAATTTGATTATCATTGGGGGGATCGCTTGACAGGAAAGGCACAGAAAAGAAAAACAACAAGAACAACAATCATTGAAAGCTGGGCATAGGCCATATTTCAAGCACTTTGTGGCTGTTTTCATAAAAATAAAAGAGATTCCAGTAAGAACAGTATTTCCATCTCTATATTCTCACTTATAATAAAAAAAATATATTGCAATAGTGTTTAAGTTTCCTTAGAAGTTTTACTTTTGTGAGCTGCCAGCTTTTTTCTCTTTGAAACTTGAAAACCATCGTGCAAATCACTTTCAAATTCTGGGGCGTCTCCATCTGATCTTTGTTAATAATAGCTAAGAGTAAGAAAATGAAAAAAGAAAATAGTTGGACTGAAGAACTAGGTTCTTTCCCTATGGTGATTAAACTCTAGAAATATATGGGAGATTTTCTTTCTTTTATTATTAATAATTATTATTTATTACTTTCTTTTATTGCTTACTATTTTTCCAATTCCCTCTACTTCTAACACTGTCCCTGTAAAAAATATTAAACTGGGTCTCTTTCAAAACTCACTGTAAAACATCACTTTACTTTAAGAAAACCATCTTAAACAAAGGCAAAAGTTTCAGAAATTCATGTTGTCTTTTAACGACTCACAGCCCTTCATATCTTGGTAATAAAAGAGGGAAGAAATTTATAGCAAAGAATTAATCTGGAGCCAGAAGCTTTATCTTTCATGTGATGAGTTTTTAATACTAACTAGGAAGACTCTCAAACTCCCAACTACCTCATTGATTTAAAAAAAAGGGAAATATTTTCCTGGAGATGTGATCTGTACTGTTCCTCGGGACAGAAAACCTAACAGCATCAGTAGGGTTTGATGGTTACAGTAAGATCTTGTATTTCTATAGCTCTGTTCAATGAGCAATGTGTGAATGAGCATTACACATCCCCATTGGATACACAGATATTCATCCCCCTTTCACAGGGAAGAATCTAGGGGTTGAGTGTGTCAATAATACATCCAAGTTCACACAGCTGAGGATTCAGTCTATGAAACTTTATAGCCCATGTTATTGTCAGTATGTCAACTTTTTTAATGTATCAAAAATATCTTATTTTCCACGTAGACAACTTACAATTTGTGAAAAAGTGTGATTTAGAATAGGGTGATGTTTTTATTATTTGTTTAATGGCTTATTTCATTCTCCCTATAAAAATTGTTTATTGTAGTGGTGCCTGGGTGGCTTAGTAGATTAAGCGTCTGACTCAGCCTTTCGGCTCAGGTCATGACCTCACAGTTCTTGACATGGAGCCCCATGTCGGGCTCTGCACTCAGTGAGGAGCCTGCGTGGGATCCTTTCTCTCCCTTTTCCTCTCTCTCTCTCTCAAAATAAAATAACCTTTAAAAAATGTTTATTATAGGGGCGCCTGGGTGGCGCAGTCGGTTAAGCGTCCGACTTCAGCCAGGTCACGATCTCGCGGTCCGTGAGTTCGAGCCCCGCGTCGGGCTCTGGGTTGATGGCTCAGAGCCTGGAGCCTGTTTCCGATTCTGTGTCTCTCTCTCTCTCTGCCCCTCCCCCGTTCATGCTCTGTCTCTCTCTGTCCCAAAAATAAACGTTGAAAAAAAAATTAAAAAAAAAAAATGTTTATTATAGAAAATGTAAAGGAGACAAACACAAAGAAAGATTATTTTACTCATAATTTTACCTTCTAAGGATACCCATTGCTAACATTTACATATATCTTTCTCAGTCTTTTTCCAAACACTTATATATTTTCTAAACGTGATAATTTATGTGTCATTTCATATGTGACCTTTTTTGTTTGACAACAGGTAACAAATACTTTTTCATGTCATCGAATAGCCTTCTAAATTATGTGGTAATGTCTGAGTAGTATATAATGTATAGCTGTATCATTCTTTTTTTTTCAATTTTTTTTAATGTTTATTTATTTTTGAGACAGAGAGAGACAGAGCATGAACGGGGGAGGGTCAGAGAGAGAGGGAGACACAGAATCGGAAGCAGGCTCCAGGCTCTGAGCTGTCAGCACAGAGCCCGACGCGGGGCTCGAACTCACGGACCGTGAGATCATGACCTGAGCCGAACTCGGACGCTCAACCGACTGAGCCACCCAGGCGCCCCTAGATGTATCATTCTTAAACATGAATAAAATAATGGCTAATACTTACTAAATACTTTCTGTGTGACACATTGAAGTCTCGCATCCGTCCTATGAAATAGGGACTATATGTACTCCCATTTTACAGATGAGCATATTGAGACACAGAGAAGTTAGGCAATAGCATGAGGCCAGTCAGTTGTAAGTGGGACTCAAGCCCAATCAGTCTGGCTCCAGACCAATGCACCAGCACTGACAATCTCCAAATGGTGGGAGGTTTTGGGGAGAAAGGGAGCATTTTGGTCTGAGGGTACAAACTTTCAGTTGTAAGATAAACAAGTTCTGGGGATCTAATGCATAGCATGGTGACTTAATAATACTGTATCGTATACTTGAAATTTGCTGGAAGAGTAGATTATAAGCTGTTCTCACCACAAAAGAAAACTAAGGCATCTATGTGAGGGGATGGTTATGTTAATTACCTTGATTGTGATAATCATTTCACAATGTATACATATATCGAATCATCATGTTGTACACCTTACATGTGTACAATTTTTGTCAATTACATTTCAACAAAGCTAGGGAATAGGATCTCTAATTATTGGGTATTGAGTTGTTCACTATAAAAGAAAATTCTATGAACATGCCTGTAGTTACTCTTTGTGCAGATCTATACTTTGCTTAAGGAAATTTCCCTAAAAATTGAATGATCAAACCGAAAGCTAAGCACATTTTTTAAATTTTAAACATGCATTCTAAATTGCTTGTCTGTAAAATACAGCAATAGTATATTAAACCTGCTATTTCTCATTACTCTTACCAACATAGGATATGTGTGTGTGTTTTAATCTGTCACTTTGATACACGACAAATTAGAATTTTTTTTAAATATGCCGCTTTAATTAACAACACTAGAACCATTTTTATATGTTTAGTCACCATTCATGTTTATTCTTTGGTGACACTTTTATACATGGTTTAACTGATTTTTCTATTGAAATGCTGATCTTTTTTTATTAATTTGCAAGAGTTTTTTACTCAGTAAAAACATGACCATCTATATTATAGACATTTTCTAAGTTTGTCATTTGTCTTTCAAGTTTATTTCTTTCAAATTTAATAATGATAATAATTAAAACACAAAATATTAAGGTATTTATGTTGTCAAATCTACTGATCTTTTCTTTATGGTCTCTTCCTTTGTTTTTTTATTTTATTCATTCACTCAAAAGCTATTAAGTGGTCACTATGTGCCAGTTTTCCTATATAAGGCATTTAGAAGCTCTATCCCCCTCTAAAAATTATATATTTACCAAAGTTTTCCTTTATGAGGTTCATGTTTAGATAGATAGATAGATGATTGATAGATAGATAGATAGATAGATACATTTTATGTTGATTTATGCTGATATTTGTGAGATGGATTTGTCTCAATTTCATATATAGAATTTATCCTTTCTTTCCACAATGATCTGAAACATTCCCTTACCATATACTAAATTCTTACACATACTTAAATTTGTTTCTGGAATTCAAATTAATTTGTTAAATCCAGTTTAAATTTTGATTTAAATCAACCTTAAAAGAACATATATGGATCACTTAATCAAAAAAATCTTTAATCCAAAAAATGCATATGCTTTTCTTTGTGATGAATTTATGGTTTTTTAGGCTCGACTGTTCAAAAAATGGCAATAGTGTCATATGATATGAGTGTAACACATTCTTTTAGGATGTTCTGCTTTAAGTGTTCATTATACTATTGAATTTCTTGTCAATCCCCTTCCGTGTTCAACCTTTTCATTCCTCCTATTCACTCAAACCCAGTGATTGGTACTGACAATTGTTTCAATGAGTTGAGAAGAGACAGAAATCTCTGAAGACTTTAGGAAGGAGGTGTGACTCCACTATGCCTCGGGGGAAAATAAGGCAGGGTTTGGACAGGGGGAAAGGGGAGTGGTAAAAATAAGAAAGGAGAAGAGCGCACTTGGAGGAAGTAGGCAAGCACCCCTGGTGCAAAGGACTGGTTTGAGTGGGAGGTCAGGAGGCAAAGCCATACAGTGACAGACTCTACTGTTGTGTTTATTATTCGCCTGAGAGGGTTCAAAACAGTGTGCATGTATGCTTCCATACATTCACAGATTGATACATGCATACAAAATAATTCTGGGGCGCTTGGGTGGCTCAGTCGGTTAAGCGTCGGACTTCGGCTCAGACAGGTCACGAGATCTCGTGGTTCGGGAGTTCCAGCCCTGCGTTGGGCTCTGTGCTGACAGCTCAGAGCCTGGAGCCTGCCTTGGATTCTGTGCCTCCCTCTCTCTCTGCCCTTACCCCCCTTGTGTTTGTTCTCTCTCTCTCTCTCTCTCTCTCTCTCTCTCTCTCTCAAAAATAAACATTAAAAAAATTAAAAGATAATAATAATCCTGAAGGATACATGCCAAAATGTGAATGGCGGTCATGTAAGACTATAGGGTAAAGGGTTATGTTTCTCCTCATTTATATTTACTTTATCTTTTTGTTCATAATAACATTAATTTTGTAATAAAAAACATTTTTAAGAACTGCTTTTGAAATAAATTTTACAGTCCTGAATACACAAAGTCATATTCAGCCATTAGGTTTGACCTACTGCTAATTCTTATATATACACTGTTGCTAATAGACGTGTTACCAGTAACATGTGAGTAAATTAAGTGAGTAAATTCCACAATTTGACAAATTAAACTCAGTTTGTCTTTGGCTATTAATAGAATGCTTTAGGCTGTCTAAATGATGAGATCCTCTTTGTACTGTAATTATGTCTTTAAGTAATCCATAGAGAAACTTCTGGAACACCTTCAAGATTAAGCCCCAACAGAACCTAGAATCAATTATGACCCATCTTTAAAATTTCCATTTAAGAACTGTAAATAGAGCTCAAATGTTATGTTCTATAATTAGCTGGATTTGGCTTTTAAAATATATTAAAGCTGTATTTATTTCCTTTTCTTCACAACTCTAGTCACTAAAGACAAGTATAAATTTATAAAATTGTTTGATTTAATCCACTCTGCTTTCAAACAATCCAGGCCAAGGCTCATGTACTAAACCCAGATAACAGTGGTGGTGACCAGGCCAAAGAGCTCAAGAACAGATGAGAAAAGACAGGAGCAAGAGAGAACTTTTTTCAGAGGCTCAGAAGAACAAGGAAACAGCTGGAGCACTTGGTAAAAATGTAGATTCCTCTTCATCACCCATTTCCCCAGGACACAGATGCCAGACTTCCTGAATCAGCATTCATAAAAATCTGCATGTTGGGGGGAGGGGGGGGCACCTGGGTGGCTCAATAGGCTAAGCATCGACTTTTGATTTCAGCTCTCTGGTCAAGATCTCACGGTTCGTGGTTTCCAGCGGCGTTGGGCTCCGCACTGAGAGCCTGCTTGGAATTCTCTCTCTCTCTCTCTCTCTCTCTCTCTGCCCTTCCCCTGCTCTCTGTCTCTTTTTCTCTCAAAATAAACAAATAAAAACTTTTTTTTTTAATCTGCATTTTTAACCCCTAATTCCTACAAATCTGGACATTTAAAAACCATTATAAGGACAGATGGGCAGTTGCCAGAGGCAATGTTGGGGGATGGGGAGGGAAATGGGTGAAGGTGGTCAAAAGGTATAAACTTCCAGTTATAAAATAAGTCATGGAGATATAATGTACAACAGGGTGACTATATTAATAATACTGTACTCTATATTTGAGGTTTCTAAGAGAGTAGATCTTAAATGTTCTAGCACAAGAAAAAACTGTATGTATGGTGACTAGTGGTTAACTGATTTATTGTGGTTATTTCACAATATATGCAAACACCAAATCATTATGCTGCACATTTGAAACTAATGTTATGTTATATGTCAACTGTATCTCCATAAAAATAAATAAATAAACATAGAAACTACTATAGGGATATAGAAGCTGAGAAGGAGAAGTCAGAAAAGGGGAAATGTGTAATAATATTAAGTAAATGCCTACTATATATATGTCTCCTACCAGGCACAGTCTAAACACTGTGTCAGCCTTAATGACAGAGATGGAACAAGACAAGATGAGCCAGACATGAGCAATATCATCCTAGGATTATTAGGCAGGTTTACTGAAGATTTAGTCTAATGTAAACACACCTTGCTTCTGTTCCAGAAAAGAGACCAAATTTTTAATTTTTATGTATTTCTCTTTAATTTACCTTTACCCAGAAAAAGTATTGGCATTGAGATTGTTTCAATGAAAGCTCTAATTTTTTTTTAAGTATCATGAAGATACACCTTTTAAGTAAGTATTGCTTAAGCTAGAAATAAGAAAATATCCAATACAGAGATTATGCAAATATTACACAAGCTCTATTGGGGAAGAGGAAGGTAGTGCTGACAGAAAATAATGGCATTGCACAAAGGCTGCCAATCAAATGTCCTGTCAACATGAACTTATTTCATAGATTCTTCTTTGCGAGGTGACAGGAATTGCTTTTCTCATGTCTCAGATTTGGTGAAGACAGCACAGGCAGGTTAATGCAAGCAATGGGTAAAGTCTGTAGGCTAATATCAGCATTGGGCTCCCACAACAGTTTTTCATTTCTTACTCCCTCACAGCTTATCACACAGGACTGCCCTCTTTTCACCTCTGCTGACCCCACCCACTCCCCTGCCTTTCCAGCTCTCCCTTCATCCAGGAAAGATGCATGGGGACTGAGAAAATGCAACTGTATCTGTGAATCAGAAGCAGGAATGTTTAAGTCACCCACTCACCAGGTTCTACTAGAATCCTCAGCCCCTGCCAGCCCTTTTCTGAGACCAGCTTCCACTCGTAGGCATAGCCCAAGTTTCTGGAATGAATCCTAAATATAGGCAGGAGAGTTTTAAGAACTTTACACCAAGAATCCAGGACCCTGCTTATCTCCTGGATCCTCTCTCTGGTGCCCCAACCACATGATGAATGCTTGTCTGAAACCCCAGCTGTGGATTTTCAGATATTGTGATTTGCTTGCCAAGCTCGATTGCATTCATTCATAACAGATTTCCAGCCTGCTATTTCAGACTCAAATATAAACTATAATTCTTGCAACCAAAAGACTGAAATCTAGAATTAAAAGGCAAAATAGTTATAGAAGTAATTATAACAAACACAAAGCTCTATATAGTTGTAAGCACCACACTGAAGTATTTGTAAAGAACATCAAGGAAGCTTAACGATCTGTCTGGAAGAGCTGAAGAAGGCTTCACAGAGGAGATGACATGGAAAAGAAAGGAAAAAGCATGCCAGGCAGTTGGAACAACACATAAATAGGCATAAAATAATAAGAAAAGGGGGATGCCTGGGTGGCTCAGTTAGTTGAGTGTCTGACTTAGGCTCAGGTCATGATCTCACAGTTTGTGTGTTTGAGCCCTGCGTTGGGCTGGCTGCTGTCAGTGCAGAGCAGCCAGATCCTCTGTCCCCCCCTCTCTCTCTCTGCCCCTCCTCCACTCACTCGCTCTCTCACAAATATATAAATGTTAAAAAAATCATTAGAAAATGGTGTGCTTAGGGAGCAAAAAAGGAGTCGGTGGACTAGAGTATGTGGACTATGAGAGCCCAATTAAGGAACGGGTCGGCCAGCAGCTGCCGGACCCCAAGGGACACTTGAGCAGCCTTGGCATTATAATAAAACGGAGAAACATACTTTCCACATTCTCACTTAGGAAAGGTACAAGAAGTAGTTGGTGAGCCAAAGCAGAATGGCCTAGAAAAATCGAAGAGGAACTGAAAGCTGCCAACAGCGGTTCTCCACCTTTCCTCCACTATGGGCTCTATCTCTCTCCAGGTAACTGAAAACAACGTTCAAACAATATTGGTTTGAAGGAGCATCGAAGTTTAGTGGAGATGTCAATGCATCCATCTCACCCTGACGTACATAACACAGAGCACTGAGAAAGTATGCTGAAATAATAATAGTAGTTCTGGGGTCCTGACTTCAAGTACTTTATATCTATTAACTCGTTCAATCCTTATAACCATCCTATGGGGTAGACATTATCATCTCCATATCAGATGAAGAAGCAGAAGCATATAGTGGTTAAATAACTTTCCAAAACTCATGCAGCAAATATGGAGCCAGGGCGGCCAAGGTGGCTGCTTCCAGAGTCTCCATGCCAAGCCATCACACAATTCTGACATACTGAGTTTTTACTTTATCCTCTGGACAGTGGACAGCTGGCAAGGCTTTATAAGCAATGGGGCAGTAATCTGTGTATGAAGATCAGTCTGGAGGAATCTGAGAAGATTGAACAGAATTGAGAGAGGCTGAAACCCAAAGCAAGAATAGGGGACTACTGTATTCATCAGAGCAGGAGACGGTGAGGGCCTGAACCAAAAAGTGGAATGAATTTGCAGAGTAGAGGAAACTGAAGAAGTGTTATGGCCCTCAAATCACTGGGATCCAACTGATTGCTGGTGGGTGGTAACAGTGATGAGAAAATCAAGGCTTTGATGATAGGGTAAATGAGAAAACACTGTTTTCTTATGGAAAATGTTTCTTTTTGAGGCCCTGGGTGTCGCCAGATAAAGGGACTCAGTGAGTAAGTAAAATAGAGAAAGAGAACTCCACAGGAGATCGGGAGTTGCAGAGATGGGTCTGCAGGGAAAGAGATAAGGGTAGCAGATTGCACCCTGAAGGCCAGCACTTAGCCAAGGTAGAGGAAGCCGGGAAAGAAGCTGAGCAGTAATTGGAAAGGCAGTAGAAGGGGCATGAGAGAGTGGAGTTGTGCAAAGCAAAGAAGGAGAAAGTTCTGGAAAAAAAGAAAAAGATCAACAGTGTGAAATGCTCTGATGTGCTGATAAAGCACCTCTGAAAGGCCCGTGAAGACTTTTTAAGACACCCCCAACTGGGTTCTTCCTTCATGTCCCCACCCCACTTCTTATTCCCCTGACCCCCTGCCCAATTCCATGGTCTCCAGCCTTGACTTTCCAGGCACTGGCTAATTACCCCATACAAGCTTTAGTATTACTCTTAAGTCCTCCGTTATGTTGAAGATATTAGAACACATTTCCTTAGGCTAGAGGACAGAACCCAGGTAAACCACACATATTCTCTACCTTCGTGTTTTGATCCACAATCTTCTTCAGATTTTTCAACAGATGATTATTTGGACCACCTTCTTTCTCATTCACATAAACTATCCTATCCAGGTCTGGAAAGTTCCGGTTCAGATCTATTCCCTGGGCATTGCTTCGACCCACAAACCAGTCCTTGAGCTCACCAGGCTGAAAAAGATCAAGGGGGAAAATAATAAGTTCTTTAGTACCATTGTCACTATCTAATTAAGGTTTTCATCAATGATTTTTAAAATAATTTATTAAGATTAATTATTTCAGCAATGTCCTCTCAAAGCTGCATTTTCACTCTCTTACTGACAAACATATGAAGGTATCAGGTTTAAAGTATTTGTTATGCTCATTTCAAAAATATTTTCAATGAATAATATTTTAAATAATAATATTTTAAATGTAATAATAATTACATTTAAAAGATATGTATCATCAAACTGCAAAAAAATATCTGTATATATTAGTAATAGATGATACCTTTCACAGCATGCCAATCTAGGGGCGCCTGGGTGGCTCAGTCGGTTAAGCATCTGACTT